AACGGTTGTGATGGAGCCCACAAAGCCATAGACCTCAGAGGGCTTGGGGCCGTGCTAGCCGGAGACTCCGAATCCCAGGCTGCCATCGGCGTCATCGGGAAAAGACACGTTGGCCCTCCGATTCTTGGAGAAGCTCAGTATTCTTCGAGGGATGTTCACGGAACATCGTTCTTCCATTCTTAAACCTAATTCTTCTCTCACTCGTATGGGATTAAGAGTTTCTTAATCACCAATCAGACATTTTCGAGCGAATCAGCAATGAGATTGATTCATAACTTCAAATGGCCATCTTAAAACGGGAATCTTCAGAAGAGCGATTTTGAGAAAAGAGAGAAGGTTCATGGTCAGAAGGTACATACTCCTAAATCCCAAATCCAATGGTCCTAATAACGGCATACATAATACAAACTCAATAATGCATCACTAATAACGGCATACATAATAAAAACTCAATTAATCATTATTATTATTATGGCTATTCAACCGCTTCAAACCGAACCAAACCGACCGAATTTTTGGTTTTCCCAACCATCAAACTGAAAACCGAACCGAAATTCATGGTTCGGTTTGGTTTTTAACTGAAAATCTATCGGTTGGTTCGGTTTGATTATCGGTTATAGGATAAAATGGAAAAAAAAAATAAAAAAATTCATAAGTTATAATTTCTCCAAATCCCACGAAAATCGCAGAAGGAAAAGAGAAAAAGCCAAATATTGCAGCTACGAATTTTCTTTTACTTAGGAGCATAAAAATTTCAACGAAATACATCACAGTATCACACACTATTTCAAATAAATTATTAACCTATATAATTTAACCAAAAAATAATAATAAATAATAATAATAATCAAGAGGGAAAAGAGAGAAACTGATTTCATGCTTGAGAGCTTGAATTGGTCCAATCGCGTGCAGTCCGTAGGAGAGGATTTGGGTGGCAATCTTATTTGAGAAGCCTAGCATCGTCGAGTGCCGAGTGGAGTGTGTGCGGGAGAGGGATCACGGCGGCGATTTGGGATTTCTATGCACCGAGCACGGCCATCGGAGATGAGGAGATGATGGCGAGCAGATGAGGAGATAGGAATGGGCTTATATATTAATAATTAGCCTAAGCCTATCTTGTGCCTCTATTTATTTCAACACCTTATAATATAATCTATCTATCTATATATTAAAAGAATAACAATTTAGGAATTGCCCGCTAAAAAAAACCCGCCAATTATGTATATGTATTCACCCGCCAATTCTGTATAGGTATTCTGTGTAGATTATCTTTCCTGATTTTTTGGATAGATAGTGTAACAAATCCTAAAACATAGTAATCATCTTCTTTTTTTTTGATAGATAGGGAACAATTCACCTGATTTTTTGGTATTAAAAACGCCATTGATAATTGTTACAATGTCGGCTGATTAAATGTATAGATATTTTTTTCGCTTTTTCTTTCTTTTTTTTTTCTTTTCGTGCCATATACATTGTGATAACTTCCCTCAAAGCTCGGTATTGTTGATAAACATTGATTTAAACTCCAACAATACACAGTCTTATCTCGATATATAAGAAAATTAATAACT